CGCCTGCATCGCACCATTACGTCAATGATGTCACAGCAGGTCTCGGACTCACAGACCGACTGGGACCTGCATATTCAAGGGGTCTTGGCGGCATACCGGATGGCACCCCATGCAGCTACGGGATTTTCCCCCTTTTACCTCATGTACGGTCGCGAACCCGACCCGCCTGTGCGCGCCCAGCTGCAGATCCCCGAGCCGCAAGGGAAAACTAAATTGGCTGACCACATCAAATTTAATCTGGCCAAATTAACAGAGGCGCGGGATGCTGCAATGCTAAACTCGGACCTCCGTCAAAAGGCGAATGAGCGCCTCAGGCTGGGTCGGGCGCACATGATACAGTGGAAGCCGGGGGACAAGGCCTGGCTGCACTGTCCCCAAGTGCCACTGGCAACCTCCTCTAAGCTGGTGCGGCCGTGGCGGGGCCCTGTGGAGGTGGTCGAAGTTTTGCGACCACAGTGCGTGCGCATTAAATGGGGGAAGCGGCGATGGTTCGTGCACCCCTCTAGATTAAAACCCTTCGTTGCGGTACACAAACCCACTTCACACATGCGTGGCCAAGCGTGTGGGGGGGTCGACCGACTCACTGGGTCCGTCTCCGTCGTTCTCACCTAATGCCTTGCCGGCCGTGCCACCTCCAGGTGCATCAGGACTGACGGGCTCACGCCCGACCACCCCTCCTGGGGATACCGACGGTCGCGCGGCATCGGATGAGGACTCACTCCGGGACGGACAATTGCCACCTGACGGTCCGCCACCCGGGGTTACCCCGTGTGAGGGGCCCGCTGCAAGGACGCGCGCAAAAATGCGCAGACTGTTATGAGGCCGGAAGATGTGTACATAGGTTGTGTTCATTGTGTGTTGTGTGGGTGGTGTGTTCCCTGCCCATTGAAATGTACATACGTTGGGTTCACCTGGTGTTGTGTGTATGGTGGGTTCCCTGCAAATTGTATATAGGTTGTTTTTTTTACAGAATTCGTATTTATTCAAGGGGGGATGCGTCGGGTCGTTTTCTCTTCTTGCTGTTGCATTTTGTTGTGTTCTTGTTGCTGTTCTTGTTATTGTTGAAAAATAGTGAGGCACACGCGCGGTCAAGGTGTAAATGCACTTTTATTGTCATTTTTGTATGTTGGCAGCCGGGACGGCTGCAAGCTATGCGGGGGGGGGGGGGGGTGATGTAGGGGTGTTAAAGAGAGGGCCCGTTATGCATGGCAGCCTATGGTAAACAAACACAGTGGGCGGGGCTACGTAAGTGCACGAGGAGGTGCCCTCTACGACGTCCGAGCCAGACACCCTGGGGGGGGCTGGTTCGAACGTTATGATCCCCCGGGGCCCCACCCCTCAGGGAGGGGTTGGGTATAAAAGGGGATGTTTCAAAGGGCTCGGGAGTTATGTTTAAGCTAAAGGGAGAAGACTGAAGACGTCTTAGATAGAGCCCTGGACTCCCCTAGTTCGATGTCCTTTTCAGGGCCGGACAGGACTGAGCCAGCGGCGTGGTCCCGAAAGCCAGAGCCGGTGCTCTTGTAAGAGCTGGTCTGGAACTCCGGGTACCGGGCCCGACTTACCAGTGTCGGGCCAGATAGCCTCCCCTAGCCCATTAGTGGAGGACTCGGGGCTAGGACAGAGTTAGCTAAGGGTGTATCCCGAGTTATACGGGTGAGGGGGTCGATACCCCCTCGAGTGTTATATGCCCACTGTCGTATTGTGAAATAAATATACGTGTGCCTCAACCTCGGTGTCAAGCGTCCTCACCGGTACTTCACAGGTAAAGCTGCTTGGCCGGGAGTTAGAGCCATTCCCTGTTCAATTTGGGGTGTGATTGGAATGTTCTCTGGCTCCCACGTTATTTAACCGTTTTTGACCACGTAATTCTAGCTTTCAATGGCTGTACCATTTTTATTTGGAACAGATAAAATGGGAGGCTAATCGATGCCTGGGTTGTGGTCATGGGATGGCTCCCTATTGGCCAACCATGTTATGTATGCTGATGATCTAACAATTGCTGCTCACTCTTGGGAGTTGGAGGCTCTGATGTTGAACCTGGAGCATGGCACTAAGAGATGGGGCCCTTACCATCCGTCCCACCAAAACTAAGCACCTGCCTGGATATTTTGTGTCATTCAACACTCCACTGCCTGGACTTCCCATGAGTGATGGGGCAGTTGTGGAGAGTGGATAAATTTACATACCTGGGTAGTGTGCTTATGAGCAGTTCTGGTTTGGCAGCAAAGGTATCACTCCAAATCAGTTGAACGGCATTATCTTTTCATCAGCTGCGTAACACTGCGGCAGTTACCCGGCCTATCATTCCACACAAAGCTTCAGGTCTTCTCGGCCAAAGTTAGTCCCTCCCTTATCTATGCTTGCAAAACAAAGACCCTCTGAACGAAGATCTGTGCCGGTTTTAACATTCAGGCTGGCCTGCATACGATCCATCCTGGGTTTAAACAGATTGAATTGTGTGACGAGCTCATAGATCCTTGAAAGATCTGGACACATTCCCATCCGTGAGCTCCTCCGGCAGGCGAGGCTGCATTTGATGGGTCATGTAGCCCACATACCCAGCCACCGCATATCCAAGCAGCTTCAGTTTTGTCGGATAGAGGGGGCTAATCGGGCATGGCATGACCTACATAAGAGATGGGCTGATGTAGTACAGGAGGATGAAGATCTGCGTGGACTTGCCGATGAATGGTACCAGTGGTATCAAGATCGTAGTACAGGAGGATGAAGATCTGCGTGGACTTGCCGATGAATGGTACCAGTGGTATCAAGATCGACTCTAGGAAGGAGGCTCGTGAGGACATTACTAGGCAGCTGGAGGCAGTCGCCCTCTAACAACAGCGGAAAGCAGAAGAGCAATGCTCATGGCAGTGATCAGAGCACCGGGTGGCTAAAACGCAACACGTTTGTACAGTAGGGGGCACAGGTGGTGCATCTGCCAGTCATCTCAGTATTTGACACTTCATGTGGCCACAGTGCACTTATCCTGGTACAAGCACCATGGTGCTGTCACTGCCACTTTGTGGCAAATGTTTTTTTTTTTGTTGAGTGGGTTTGGATTAGACATGCTCTTTAACGAACCTCAACCCCTTCCCTTCCCACAAGCTAAAGTTACACCTTACCACTGTACCCAGTAACATAAATCATCAACTACTGATTATTTGATGAAAAGCAATCAGTTATCCCAATTACTCAAAACACGTGGTAATCACCGACCACTACCCACTGCCCCTCCCTTATCGCGCCTCCCAGGCATCCCCCACCACTAACGTATTACCAAAATACATTAAATATACTGTTTGGTTCTTTCAGTAAAGTCACGTAGGTATAAAATAAAATAAATCACGTTTCGATCGCAACACAAGCGGTCGTCCTCAGGCGGAAAAAATAGAATCCAGCAGTGGAACTGCTGAACTAGCGAGAGAGCAGCTACAACAAGGCTATATATGTGGCGATGGGCAAGCAAGCGGGGTCTGAGCTGGAAAGGGATTCCGCTCCCGGACGCAAGCACCTCAGTTGTGTTAATGGGGGAGATTAGGGAGAGAGGAATTAGGGAGGGAGATTAGCATGAATGAGCTTCCGTCGCCGCATAAGAGTATCATGCCCGCATATGCGCACAACAGCAGTGTTAATGAGAGATTACCATCATGAGAGTGCAATCCAAAGGACATATGAGCATGAGAGTGCAATCCAAAGGACATGTGAACATGAGAGGTGCAATCCAAAGGACATATGAGCACCTCTCAGGCTCACTTCCCTCTCTCCCTAATCTCCCCCATTAACACAACTGAGGTGCTTGCGTCCGGGGATGGAATTCCTTTCCAGCTCAGACCCCGCTTGCTTGCCCATCGCCACATATACTGTATAGCCTTGTTGTAGCTGCTCTCTCGCTAGTTCAGCAGTTCCACTGCTGGATTGTATTTTTTCTGCCTGAGGATGACCGCTTGTGTTGCGATCGAAACGTCGTGATTTATTTTATTTTATACCTACGTGACTTTACCGAGAGAACCAAAGAGTATGGATTCCTGCAGTCACGAAAGCTTAAAATCAACATTAAATATACTTTAACTACATATTTGACAAAGTATGCACCTTAACGTGTTCTACTGCATATAGTATTACGTTAAATAATGTACTCTAAATTATACATAATGTAAATAAATTCATATGTATGATATTCATACATTTAAACATGTCGATTTCTATTTATTGGCTGCCCTGTTTTGAGTTTATTTGGTTTGTTCCACAGATGGTCCCATTTAAGTAGTTGCCCTGCGATTTTACAAGGGAGATCCGTGGTGCATGATAAGAGCAACAACAAAATAAAAAAAAGCCTCTATTGCAGAGAACAAGTAAAGAGTCAAAATTGATTTGAAGCTTTTGTGACTGCAGGAATTACTCTTTGGTTATTTCGGTAAAGTCACGTAGAAATAAAATAAAATAAATAATAGAATACGACATTTCGATTGCAACACAAGCAACCGTCATCAGGTATGAATGAATGAGAAAACAAACCTAGTAAACTTAGAAATGTAATGCAATGCAAAACAGAGAGTCGGCTAACACAACAGTTAACACTTTACCTGGTTGATTGCGTTCTTCCAAAGATTGATAAATTTGAGAGAGAGAAAAAACACAGACACGGAGACACATAAAGAGACACACAAGCAGAGAGAGACACACACAGAGACACATAGAGAGAGACACACACAGAGACACACATAGAAACAACGACTCTATGACGGGGCAGAGAAATTAGCATGTCAATGAGAGCGGCCGGAGGACATAAATTGGACCTTGACAAAACGGTTGCGCTTGTGTTGCAATCGAAACGTCGTCTTCTATTATTTATTTTATTTTCTTTCTAAATGACTTTACCGAAAGAACCAAAGGACTCACATCTAACGAGGTTCAATGCAGCTGAATGCACAATCTGGCCTACCTGGGGTTTCGCTGTGCATTTAACAATGCAAACACACGCAGGGCATTTGAGCACTCACATGAAATTCTAACAGGAAGAGCACGCAGTGTGTGAAGATGGAGACCATCATGTGGAAGATGATCGTGGTCCGTGGAGTTTCTTTTTCCTCCTCTGCGTTTATTGCGAAAAAGATAATGATGGCCGGTACAAACACCAACACCGTCTTGGTGAACGGCAGTTTCAGTGAGCTCTGAATCACGTTGTACCACTTGTTTCTGTACCTGCACATAACAACAAATATTGATAAGGCACACAGGTGTGTATGAGCACAATGCAGAAGGTAACTGAGCAGAACCATCAGATTGTTAATTTTGTGACTGAGGATAATGACCCCTTTTCCTAACAGATGGGTTTTTTTTCAATCAATAAAGACATGTCACTCATAGCCAATGAAACAATGGGACATTTGGAAAATTAACAAAAAATCACAAAATGCAAGACGGACATAGATACCTTCAAATAAAGCCCAGATTAGATACCGAGACGTAGGACTAAGGACCCAATTCATGCACACTTTGTCAATGCTCTCCTACATGTTTTTGCACCAATTCACTAGGCAAAATGGTGGGAGATCCATCTACCCAGCAGCATCGACCCAGCCACGAATCATATGTTACAGGAGGGCCAAAGGCATCATGCCATAAAGCTCCAAAGTGAGCCGAGCAGATTAATCAGGTTCTAACCCACCAATGACAAACACATGAATGTGTATGGTTCCATTATTTGCAAGAGCAGGTGTGTTCCGTGAACCCATACACGGCTTCTACATTAGCGAAGCCAGGCACAGCCAATATCAGCAGTACTCCTTTGTCGTTGCTTGCTTTAGCCCGATCCTGCAGCTGTTCCATAGTGGACAGCTGGCCGCTTACACGTCAAGATTCCTTGAGTAGTTGTATGAACTGCGGTGGATAACGTTACTATTAAAGAGGGCAGAGTGTGGCCAACAACGTACCCTGCTGCTGTAGCAACCCAGCCCAGTGCACCAAGCACGGTACTCATCAGTGGTGCAGTAAGTATATTATCAGCTCAGGGGGTGCGGCAAACAGTCAGGTTGGGCCCCAATGTTTGATTCGTCTCGCACAGTCGGACATAGGCTATATATCTTGCCTAATTGCATTTTTTTACATTTTCATAAAATAAATTTAAACCGCGTTTTAAATACGTTTTTGTTCTTTTACACTGCTGTTGAAAACATATCTCATGGTGGTCGTCAAGAGGGCACCAACTCATTGTTTTGGCCACCAGGAGGGGCCAAGGCACCCCCCTGCCCCCACGCGAGTTACGCTACTGGTACTCAATGAAGACTATACAGACCTGTCGGACGCCACTCGCCACCAATGCACATGGCCAGCCTTCAAACCTTAGCTGCGAGAGGTTTGACCAGTAAGAAGCCACCCCCTTCACCGTACCGGGCATTCTGCAAGCACAGCTGCATAATGCTTCTTGAGGACTCTTGTCCAGATGCACGGCTGCCCAAATAAATTAAGCCGTCACCTACAGTATTTTCAATCTTGATTTGAAGCTTTCGTGACTGCAGGAATCCATACTCTTTGGTTCTTTCGGTAAAGTCACGTAGGTATAAAATAAAATAAATCACGACGTTTCAATCGCAACACAAGCGGTCGTTCTCAGGAGGAAAAAATATAATCCAGCAGTGGAACTGCTGAACTAACGAGAGAGCAGCTACAACAAGGTTATATATGTGGCAATGGGCAAGCAAATGGGGTCTGAGCTGGAAAGGAATTCCACCCCCTGACGTAAGCACCTCAGTTGTATTCTTGGTTCTTTCGGTAAAGTCACGTAGAAGGGAAATAATAAAATAATAAAAATAGAAAACAAAAAAAATTCTCACGACATTTCGACTGCAACACAAGCAATCATCATCAGGTGATCATCATCAGGTAATGATTGCTTGTGTTTCAGTCAAAACATCGTGATAATTTTTATTGTTTTATAATTGTATTATTTAATTATTTCCCTTCTACGTGACTTTACCGAAAGAACCAAGAACATGAATGCCTGCAGTCACGAAAGCTTTAAATCACTTCAGTTGTGTTAATGTGGGATTAGGGAGGGAGATTTGCATGATGAGCCTATGCGGCAACGGAAGCTCAAGAACCAAAATAATTCGTAAGGTGAAGCTATCATAACTTTCACTGAAAATAAGCATACACTATTGTCCAAGTACAGTAATACAGATGCTGCAAACTATAACACTAACGTGTCTTTCACATTGACACGTGGCAATAACGCCAAGATTCCTGGAGAAATAATTACCTGGTTTTGAGATGCTTCCTCTCCTCCATGAAGTAGAAGATGCTTGTAATAGTGGTCGTTATTATCTGAAGAATGAAAGCCTGAGCAAAGGCTTGGATTACAATAATCGGGTCATCTCTGAAGATAAAAAGGGTGACTACCAAAACGAGGAATGAAATGACCGTTGCAGCATATTGCTTTATGTGTCCGCGCGGGGCTGGAATCATGTCGAAGTTCTCCTCCGTATCCATGTGTTCAGACGCTTTATCTCAAATCCTGTGCAAAATTAACATTGTTAGGGAAAGCACAATGAGTGAGCACACGTGTGTGCTGTACAGTGCAGGGTGGTGCAGATATCTTGTGACCCAAAATTAATTGGCCCCTCACGTTATTTTCTTTGCATATTCATGTCTGTTGAAATAAATGTCACTTTAAAAAAATCTAGTTTTACAGAATAGAATTGGGGTCACAAGACATCTGGACCAACCTGTACAGTGCTGACTCAATATGGCGGAGCCCTGCATTTTTCCAATAATGTTCTACTGCCGGAAACCCCGAGACAGCTCATCTGATAAGAATTGTAACGGCTCTCAGGGTCTCAAGTTGGCGTTTATTGTTTTACCGGGTGAGAACTTAAAATATCAGGATTAGTCTAATTTGCAAGAGTTACTTTGGTCACCAAATTTAAAATAAGAAATCACGTGAACATGAAGGTCAGTAACGAAGGAACTATTAATCAGAGAAAGAACTAAACAAATGTTTGAGGAAAAACAACTGCATCCCAGAGGGTTAGAACTTATATCTGTCACCTCCTTTTCAGTGCCTACCTTATTACAGACCAATTCAGACCATATTGGTCAACCCGTACCCTTATAAATCTCAACGTTCAAATATGAGACAGACATACGTAGTGAAATGATAAATATGTAGCCAAGAGGCAAAGATGGAGTTAAATGATGAGATGACTAGTGTTCATGTTAATTAGCTTGTGAATAGATCTCAGAGCTAAGATCTCAAAGCCCTGATCTAAAAGGCTCAGATAACAAAAATGTGTTGTGATACGTTGGCAGTGGTGCATAAGTACAGATTTTAAAACATTATGATCAATAATAAGTCCCTAAGGAAACGATAGGTATCAACTAAGTTAAGGCGATGACCATTTTCATAGCACAACATAACTCACATCTCAAAACTCAGATATCTCAAAGCTTAGATCTTATATGTTTGAAATCCTGGATCTTATATCTCAAATGAGATCTCCCAAATATGAGACCTATATGACATTATACCAATGCTGAAATCACTGAGAGCTCTCCAATATGAGACACCTTTGATATCTTTTTTGGGCTCTCCAATATGAGACACCTTTGATATCTCTTTTGGGCTCTCCAATATGAGACCTCTATGAGATGAGATCTCAACTCTCAGCTATGGATGTGCGTATCCGTTTAGTTCTCACCGATTACTTATAAGTACCCCAGCAATCGATTAATTTCTCACGAATCAATTAGTCGAACAATTTACTCTCGATTATGGAAAATAAGAATCGCGTTTACTGAATGTAGAGGAGTTGGGAGGAGACGAATCGGACACCGGTCTCGCACGGGTCTCAGAATGCCACGACCACCCGCTCCCTGACCCGTACCTGTCAACCCCTTATCAGTGCCTACCTTATTACAGGCCAATTTAGATCTGATTGGTCACCCCGTGCCCTTATAAATCTCAACGTTCTTCCTACAAAGTCCCATCACAAGGGAGAAACACAAATAGACGAACAACATTTTTTTTCCCGTATAGAAACGACTGTACGCCGTACGGACCTGAAAACTCAATTTCCCTGTACTAGAATACGGGTAAACCATATGGGTTGACAGGTATGCTGACCGCTCCTCATGACCTGCCCCTACTGGACATCTGTGAAAAACATAGCTCATCGCATTTCTTCAGTCTAAATAAAAGGAGGCCTGGCACGTGTGATATGCTGGTGCGTCGTGTCTCTCTGCTGCAGGTGCGGTGTGCAAACATCGCCACTAGTAAGACAAAGGGCGTGGAGCTGACCACCCAACCGCCTCGTGTGCCGTCTCGGCCTTCATAGGTGCTACTCGCTCACAGCACTTGCCCTAGCACAGTCTGTTGAGGCTATACGGGGGATCTTTGTCTTTGCTCCTGAGTAAGTGAACCTCCCTTCACACACTTCCACACCCTTACAGGCGACGCACGTGGTGGTGAAGGTAGTGACACCTGCCCTTTAACGAAACCCCCTGGCTTTTCCATTCCAATAATCGATCATTCGACCAAAGTAATCGCGATTACTTAATGCGGGTTATCCCTCGATTTACGAACGTCCGGTTTGCGAAAACGCAATAAAAATGTATGTCCACATAACGACATTGAATTTCCGCGTAAACGAAATGTGACCTGTGCACGCACCACGCGATCAACAAACAAGAAGCACCCGGAAGGCTGCGGCGTCGTCCTGCGGACAGTGTCAGTGTCGCCTCCACGTCGCCTTGCCAGTCACGACAACATGCAGTAGATCTCTTGGGGAGTTCCCCGAAAAGGCTTAAGAGAAGCTCGGAAGGTCGTGAAAAAGTGTGATTGTTTGACGTGCAAGGCAGTTCTTTCCAGTGAAGAGGGGCGAGGAGAGAGGAAGAGCAAACCCAAGACTGTGCACACGATGGGGTAACACCACTGCCCTCGGCCTACTGTGAAGCGCACGGGGGAAGGCCGTCTCGCCCCCCTCCCCCCGACCTATGCCTCATCCTTGACCGGCTGCGCGCCGCCACTCGCTCATCAACGCAGCCGCGCCCTGCCGACACCGCGCAGCAGCTGTGCGACCCCTTCGCCGGCGCACGAGACAGCAACAGCTGCGCTGGTGTCGCGCACGCGCACTAGCGCGCGCGCGCGCGGTCTCTCGCTCGCCGCTCGCACGTGCGCGCGGCGAGGCTCGCGTCTCACCACGTGCTGAGGCTGTTGTTTTGCGTGGCTCCTACCGCGGTGGCGACGAGACGCGCGGTGTGTTCCGTGCGTTGATCTTCTTACGCACCGCACGCAGCCAACCGCGCTAGGTATGGTGCGGGCGGGTGAGGACAACGAAACACAAGCAGTTCTAAAGAAACGAGTTTTCAATTCTAGATTTGAAGCTTTCGTGACTGCAATGATTCATATTCTTATTTTTTTATCGGTAAAGTCACGTAGGTAAAAACATTAAAAAGTTAAATAAAATAAAAATCACGACGTTTCGGAGGCAACACAAGCTTCCGTCTTCAGGTGGTACCGTCACAGCCACGACAGCTGTATCAAGTAAATGAGTTTTTATTTTATTTTACTTTTTAATGTTTTTACCTACGCGACTTTACCGAAAAAACCTAAGAATACGAGTTTTCAATCTTAGATAATTAAAAATTGTCTAATGACGTCAATACCGTGGGGGCCGACACCCACACGCATGACGTCACTACGGGTGCATGCGGAAGTGACGTCACGGCCGGGTCGGGGGGGTCTGGAGGCCGTGGGTCAGAACCGCGGGGGTCGCGTGAGGCCGCGGCGCTCTGGCTGAACCCGGCTGGGATGAAGACGCCTCGGGAAGAGAAGAGTCAAGCCTCAAGTCAGCGTGGACAAGCAGCAGCCCTCCTGGCTTGGTCACGCGAGTCGTGTCAGTGTGTCGGTGTTAGCGAGCGTCAGTGTGTGCTAGCGAGAATAGGACGGGGGTCACCACCCTATGTACCGTGTCATCGCGTGTTGAGTAATAAAGTGTTGCCTCCCAAATTCGGTGTGTGCGCCTCTATCGAACCATTTCAATTGCATAGCTCCAGTGGCGTCCTCATACCGGAAGGAAGAGCGTTTGAGACGACGTCAGAAGCGCACCTGCAAGCGCGCGATACACGCGGTGACCGCCTTTGTTTGATGGTCAACCAAAAGCCGCTGCTACTGCGAGTATGACAGGTCGGCGGTGGTGGAGTGTCTCTGCTGGTCACACGGAGTGACAGTGGCGGGGTGTCTGCCGCTCACACGCATCGCCTTTCTCACAGTGCTCCCGTCGCTGTTCCCCAATGGGAGCTTGCGCCAGACGTCATGACGGAACCACGCAGTCCCGCGCGTTGACCAATCAGGACACGACGCGCCTTGAGCAGGTGCGTGGGCGCGCGGCGTGGATTCACACGGCCCCCGCCACTCGAACGTGGAATTTCCGAGTCTTTAATTTCGAATGGGCAACACTTGCTCACGGCGGCCACTGGCGATTCTACTCACTCTACAGAGAGGCGAGGGCCAGAGTACAGGACGGGCCTTGCCGAGGCGTTGTCCCCCATGCCAATTCTGTCAGCACTTGTATTGCATTCGTGTACAGTAATTGTCGGAAAAATATATTGAATTGCACCAATAGGGGTCCTACCTCTTTTCCCACCTGCCCTTCTAACGAGTAATGCTGGTCATAAATTAAACCCATATTGTTAATTTCCAAATTTGGAATCTTGCCAAATTATGTTTTAAATCATATGTAATGCATACCTGTCAACCCATACGGTTTACCTGCATTCTTGTACAGGGAAATAGAGTTTTCAGGTCCATACGGCGTACAGCCGTTTCAATACAGGCAAAACTAATTTTCATAATCAACGTTTTTGGGTTTAGATCGCGTTATTTATAAATGTGTCGTAACCCTCCACCACCCGACACGGCCAATCAGTAAAAAAGTGTCATGTTGACAAAAAGACAAATAGTTCACTGCTTTAGCCCACCGGTGTGTTGAAACGTGAAACCACAACATTTACAATTTGAGTACGACGTTTCGCTGGTAATTGCATCCAGCATCATCGGGCAATTCGCCAGAATGGTGAGGCTCTGCAGCAGCAGGGTGACGTCATCGTTAACTCATTAACTCATCAGGTGCAACGATTTGAGGGGGGGGGGTTATTGTAATTACATACTAGATTAGTAATCAGGCAGTTGTTTCGATGCGAGTTGTAGATTAGTAATCAGTTTTAATGTGTTTTATTGTGATTATGCTACGTTAGTAATCAGTTCGTGTTTGTTTCCCCTATAAGGAATTGTAATGTATCTTATTTAATAATACGCTTCCAGGCCGCACTAAGCCTGTGGCTGTCTGAGCGATTAAAGTTATTTTTGTTTCTCTCAATTTCAATGGATTCTCTAATTAGTCTTTGCCAGTAGTAACTAGTTTTACACAACACTTCAACGTTGTCAAAATCAATTGAGTGTCCCTGTTGGCAAGCATGTTTTGCCAATGCCGACAGTTGTGTTTGCGATAGTTTAATATTTCTCTGGTGTTCTTTTATTCTTACACTAATGTTACGCCCTGTCTGTCCAATATAGCATCTGCCACATAAACAATTAATCCGGTATACACCTTCTGTGGATAATTTAGGTAATTCGTTTTTAGTGCAAGTTACTAGTTGTTGAATTTTGTGTACTGTACCAAATCTTACTGTAATGTTTTGCTTTTGCAAAACACGGGCTAATTTGTCAGTTACTCCTGAGATAAATGGTATTTTTAAATCCTTTATATTAAGTTCACTTGCTTGCTTGCGCGCTTACGACTGTGCAAATCTTTCGGTCGTTTTTTAACCCACTTCCCGTGATCCAATCGAGCTGACATTTTGCACACAGACTCGTTGTGCGTGACAATACATTTTCGTGAATTTTTTTTTCCAAATGTTTACACTTTTTAGGAATTTTTTTTATATTTAATTACCAATTGCTTAATGGTGGCAGACAATCATCTGACCCATAGGTGGCAGCCATCTCAAGCCAGAGGACGAGAGGACTCTAGCCGCCACGCATATAAAGGATTTATAGTGAAAAACTTTGTTTTTACGGGTTAATTTTTTTAATCCTTTATATTAAGTTCACTTGCTTGCTTGCGAGCTTACGACCGTGCAAATCTTTCGGTCGTTTTTTAACCCACTTCCCGTTACCCAATCGAGCTGACATTTTGCAAACAGACTCGTTGTGCGTGACAATTTAATTTCGTGAAATTTTTTTTCCAAAATTTTACACTTTTTAGGTACAAATGTTTTTATATTTAATTACCAATTGCTTAATGGCGGCAGTTAATCATCTGACCCATAGGTGGCAGCCATCTCAAGCCAGAGGACGAGAGGACTCTAGCCGCCCGTTTCAAAGACCAATGTGGGCTGGGTTGTGGCCCATTGAACACGCATATAAAGGATTTATAGTGAAAAACTTTGTTTTTACGGGTTAATGTTTTAATAATCTGATCGCTTTCAGCAGTGTTGCTTTGCGATCGTGATTTGGCATTTAGTGCTGTTAATTTGAGCATTATTGTAGCCATTCTGTCTTAGTGCTTCTTTAACATGTTTAATCTCTCTCACTAGACTTTCACCATCTGACACTGTTTTAGCCCGATGTATGAGCGTCTTGATAAGAGAGGATTTCTGAGCTGGGTGATGATGCGAATCTGCATTCAGATAGGCATCAGTGTGCGTTTGCTTTCTGTAAACGCTGTGTGTTATTTTACCATTTAGGCCATGCCCAAGTAAAATATCCAGGAACGGGAGTGTGTTATTCACCTCCATTTCCATGGTGAACTGAATGGCAGGGTTTTGTGCATTGAGATGGTTTCGAAAATCGTTAAGTGTATTTTTACCATGTGGCCAGACAACCAAAGTGTCATCCACATATCTAAACCAAAAGAATGGTTTTAATGTGCTCGAGGCAAGTGCTCTGGTTTAAAAGTTTTCCATGTACAAATTTGCTATAGCAGGAGATAAAGGAGAGCCCATTGCTGCTCCCTCCCTTTGTTTAAAAAATTCGCCTCTCCATAAGAAGTAAGTGTTATTTAAACAATGGTCAGCGAGTTTCGGAATATTTTTTGGTAAACCTCTATTCTTTACCAGTGTATCAAGTAATTTAAGCGACTCGCTCACTGGAACCTTAGTGAATAGCGAAATCACATCAAAACTCACCAAAATATCATTAGGGTTAAGTTTAATATTCACAAAAGGCAATCCTTTGGATTGCCTTTTGGATTGCAACTCTCATGTTCACGTCCTTTGGATTGCACTCTCATGGTGCTAATCTCTCATTAACACTGCTGTTGTGCGCATATGCGGACATGATACTCTTATGTGGCGACGGAAGCTCATTCATGCTAATCTCCCTCCCTAATCCCTCTCTCCCTAATCTGCCCCATTAACACAACTGACGTGCTTATGTCCGTGGATGGAGTTCCTTTCCATCTCAGACCCCGCTTGCTTGACCATCGCCACATATATAACCTTGTAACTGCTCTCTCGCTTGTTCAGCAGTTCCACTGCTGGATTATATTTTTCCGCCTGAGGACGACTGCTTGTGTTGCGATCAAAATGTCGTAATTTATTTAATTTTATACCTACGTGACTTTACCGAAAGAACCAAAGAGTATGGATTCCTGCAGTCACGAAAGCTTCAAATCAAGAATGTACATTTACGTTTTCTTGTGTGATTGTAAACTTACCTTTTGTTTTAAGTGCTGAAGAAAGAAATAATGACACCAAAAACACGTTGTTGCTGTGTATAATTATTTATTTGATTAACTTTTTCAATAAAGAAACGTAAAATTTAAAGCGAATTTATGTAAAAATATTTCTTCCGCTCGACCTTCTTCTGCGGGAGTGTATCCACCCGCTCATGATTACTAATGATGGCGGGGGGGGGGGGAGCTCTTTTGCAGTGACGTAACATACGGATATAGCAGTGTACTGCATATATACATTTTTTACCGTCACTTTCTGTAAAGAAACGCCATATTTGCGTAATAAATTATTTAATTCAGCTCGACCTTCCTCTGTGTTAGTGTAAAAATACACCCACTCATGAATATTACTGAGGCGGATGGGGCCTCAT